TAATGTACTATTAGATTTATATAAAGGCATTTCATTACTATGCTTCATTAAATCAGGAAACAATAGATTAAATACTAGTATTAAAAATAATAACTATCTGAAGCATAATTGTATCTTTAATAAACGCAATAAATTTCACGGATATCCCTTCCAGATCTGTAGTTTTCTTAATATCAATGTTTTTAAAATATTTCGCAATACCTTCTGATAATACTTTAAGAAATGTAAAATTCTTTGTACACGCATTTATATTTTGTTTAAAGTAATTATTCGGCAACGGCAAGTGAAGAATTCAGTGACCCAGTGGTTAATATCGGAATGTCAGTAAAATATTTCTCAAAAACAATTGCAACGCCCTGGTCTGATTCAGTTAATTTGTTATTAAAACTAACTGGTACTTTGAACTGCGAGAGTAGATCGAGTAGAACGAGAAAGAGTGATCTTATCAGTTTTGATATTAATTATGTTCCATGTCAGTTTAATTTTATTATATTTACCGTCTTAATTTTGTTGCTCAAATGCAAAGACTTGGCTATGGACCACACTCTTTTAAGTATTTATTAATATTTTTTTAAACAGATTCCCTAAATTCGATGCTAGAATTATATGACCTTTCATGGTAAAGATCTTATAACGATTATCTGCTCTTATGGACTCCTGTTGTCGCCCATTCATTGAATGCCTTCCGACTGTTCGATAAGAATGATTTTGAATAAAAATATTATCAATTGAATTGCTAATAAGCTTAAACAATGTTCCATACAAAAAACTTGGAATATTATGGTATGAGAGTAATGGAAAATACTTCTAGTATATTATTTATATACGTATATTATTTATATAAGCTGAATGACAGAGTGAGAAATTGTTTAATAAGAGAAGAGTGTGGTTTGCAAGATGATGTTGTGACCAGGATTAAGAAAGGAATGCTTCGGTGGTTTGGCCATGTAGAAATAATGAATGAGGAAAGAGTGATAAAGCAAATTTATGTTGCAGAGGTGAACGGCATAGTCGGGAAGGGTCGCCCTAGGCGAAAGTTTATCGACCAAATTGGCGATATATTAAAAATGGGCCAAATCAAGAGTACCTTTAACCGACGAGCGTGTATGCGTAGGTATATGGATGTGGAGGAAGCGAGAGAGGTGTGTCAGGATCGTGCCAAATGGAAGTTCATAATCTCTGCCTACCCCTCTGGGGTGACAGGCGTGAGTGTTTATGTTATGTTATGTTGATGTTTATATACTTCTCCATGCGACGCGCATTTACTGTAACTGACACAACTTTCTCATCTACTTGCTTATTGTAAATATAAGGTAACTAAACTAATTGTCCGCAGTGATCAGAATTAAATACTGATCATTGCGGACAATTAGTTTATTTTTGAATTATACATTTATGTAACGACTAAACATTTGTAAAATTGTTATCAATACATCAATAAATTAAAAAAGACTATATGATTTAAACAATGATCTTAATTTCATTTTGGTGAATGAAGCTTCTAGGAAATTAATATTAAAGTCTCCACATATTACAACAGATTTATTCTGTTTATTAAGACTAAAAAAACCTCCTCCACAATTTTTTCAAAAGTATCATATATAGAATATGGGGGTCTGTAGACGCTCACAACAATGAGGTGCACAAACACATGCCATTTCTACAATTCGCTCAACAGAGAGGCTCACAATATCTTGACTTTTTTACATAATAATAATTTACTAGCTAATATTAAGGAGCCACCTCTTAAAACCGTTTCTCTATTGAAAGAACTGACGACCTGGCGATTACTGAAGTTAAACATTAAGTTATAAGCTTTTAACCAATGTTCAGTAATACATAAAATATGAGTATTGTTGCTATTTAAGAACAATTCAATTTCGAGCTCTTTGCCTATCATGCCTAGTATATTTTGATGCACCAGGTGTAAACAATTTTCATTATCACTCTATGGAGTCATATAATTAAGGATTTGTAAGCTACATTCCAAATTGTTTAAATTATTATAACTGCTAGAGATTATCCCTATTGTCTCATTTTCTAATTTAAATTACTTGAAACTGATTTCAAATTACATATTAAGTCATTATTTGCCTCAATATAAGCAGATGTCTGTGTAGCCAAGTGCTTGGCTGATTTAATATATAAACAAAGAGATAGCACATTTGCTATCTGTATTTAATTATATTTGAATACGTATAACCTCTCACTAGTCAAACATTTCTTAATTTAATTATTTACGTCAATTAAATTAATTCTATTATTATAATTGTAACAATTAAATGTCAAGTTTAAATTACTATAACAGGAAACACGAGACGAAACTTTCATAAAATTTACGCAACAAAAAGGCGTCAAACGCATGAGTGCATAAGCCATTCGTCATGTGCCTTCTACACTCAGAGGCTGTAATCAATCAAATAAGAGAAAAACACCCTCCACTCACTATTACGCGGGATCGGGAGAGAACGTTGTTATGTGAAGCTATTATAATGTCAAATAAAATAAAATAAACAAATATGTCAATAATTTAAAAAAATTATAGTTACGGTACAGAGAATAGAGAGAGAGAGAGAGAGAGAGAGATAGAGGGACAGAGAGAAAGAGGAAGAGAGAGACAGCAGTTCAATGACCAAACAGATCTGCATTCCATTGAACCATGTACATAATACCAAATCGGTTAATTTATTCAGTCCCTACTTAAGGGTCCTTCTCTCCTAAAATATTCGGTAATTAGCTAACCTAACAACATAAAATACATACATACATACACATAATCACGACTCTTTCCCGTAGAGGTAGGCAGAGACCAGTTCTTTCCACTTGATACGATCCTTACATACTTGGCGTCAGGGGGTTCTCATGCTGGTCTACCTTTCCGGTGATCCTGGTATGGAATACGGGTACGCGACCTCGGCTCCCCGAGCTACTGTTATTCTCATACCTTTCCTGCCGAGATAACAGTATCCTTACACCTATGCTCCTACCCCCAAACTTCTTTTTCCTTTTCCCAAAATGGTAGCTTCCTCTACCAGCAATAGCATACCCAAAGAGGGTTGGTGTCAGGCAGGCGGCCGACTGTAAAACTTTTGCCAAATCCCATGCAGTAAATGAATAGTACGAGTTGTGGGACATATGACAGGGCTAGGGCGTACCCCGCAGGCGACGCGCAGGGGCAGCATCCGGCTCCTGTGGGAAGTGGGCAAGGGTTGTCGCACCTTACGGAGCGGGTGCGACGTAAGAGGCGAGCCCGGAGAGAGAAGAATGTCAGAGTGAGGTTTGCAAGCTGGAATATAGGTACGATGACTGGAAGAGGAAGAGAGTTAGCAGATGTTTTGAAACGACGAAGAGTGAATGTTGCCTGTTTGCAGGAAACAAAATGGAAGAGCAATAAAGCAAGAGAGATTGGGGAGGGATACAAGTTTTATTATTGTGGAAGTGATGGGAAGCGAAATAGAGTAGGAGTCGTGTTAGATAGTGGAATGAAAGAACGAGTGACAGATGTGAAAAGAGTAAATGACAGAATGATAGTTGTTAAATTAATGATTGAGAACAAAGTAGTGAATGTTGTAAGTGTGTATGCTCCGCAAACAGGCTGTGAAGAGAGTGTGAAAGAGAAGTTTTGGGAGGAATTTGATTGTATGATGATGGGAATACCTGAGCGTGAGGATGTTTATATGGGAGGAGATTTTAATGGACATGTAGGGAGAGTGAATGACGGGTATGAAAGAGTACACGGTGGATGGGGGTACGGAGTGCGGAACCGTGAGGGGGAAGTTCTTCTGCAAGCAGCATGTGCTTTCGACCTGGCTGTAGTAAACACGTGGTTCCAAAAACGAGATCAGCATCTTGTTACTTATAAAAGTGGCCACCACGCGACACAGATCGACTATCTTCTGATAAGACGGAACCAAATCAAGAGTGTAAAAAACTGCAAAGTGCTTCCAGGTGAAGACTTAGTATCCCAGCACCGAATTCTGCTGGCTGACATCTGCTTAACTGTTCGCCTCAACAAACATAAGGATCGTCCCCCACCCAAAATAAAGTGGCATTTGCTGCATAAGGAGGGGTATGCAAGTGAATTTAGAGAGCTAGTTGTAAACAAGATGATAGAGATGGGTGATATGGAAGGAATGAGTGTGAATGAGTGCTGGAAGGAAATGGCTGATTGTATCAGAAGTGTGGCAAGGAAGGTGTTAGGAGAAACAAAAGGGAAGCGTATGATAGATAAGGATGGGTGGTGGTGGAGTGAAAGTATTAGAGAAGTTTTGAGAGAAAAGAAAAATGCCTTTAAAGAATGGCAGAGCGTAGAAGACCAGAATGATTCCATAAAAGAAAGTAAGAGAGGGGCGTATAAAGAATGTAAGAAGAGAGCGAAGAAGGAAGTTGCTATTTGTAGGGCAGAGGCGCACGATAAATTATATCGGTCCCTTGAAAGCCCCGAAGGTCAAAAACGACTTTTTCAAATTGCAAGAGCGAGAGAAAGGAATGGAAGAGATGTTTCACATGTAAAATGTATAAAAGATGATTCTGGAAGGATTTTGACTGACGATGAAAGTATAAAGAAGCGATGGAAGGAGTATTTTGAGAAATTGATGAATGAGGAGAATGAATGGAATGGTATGCTTGAAAACCCACCAGTGAATATGGGCTTAGTGAGAGAAATTAGTGTGGAAGAAGTAAAAATGGCTGTTAGGAATATGAAGAATGGGAAGGCGGTCGGCCCAGATGGAATACCAGTAGAAGTGTGGAAGTTGCTGAGGGCGGATGGATGGAAGTGGTTGAGTTTATTTTTCGGTAAATTGTTGCAGGAAGAACAAATACCTGAGGAATGGTGCAGTAGTATACTGGTTCCCATTTTTAAAAACAAAGGAGACGTTCAAAACTGCAGCAGTTACCGGGGAATAAAGCTCATGTCACATACGATGAAAGTCTGGGAAAGAGTAATAGAGAGAAGAATGAGAGAAGAGTGTGAGATAACACAAAACTAGTTCGGATTCATGCCCGGTCGAGGTACGACAGATGCCATTTTCGCATTACGCCAATTGTGCGAAAAGTACAAGCGCGTGCATAAAGATCTGCACATGGTTTTTGTCGACCTTGAAAAGGCGTACGATCGGGTTCCCCGTGAGGTCGTGTGGTGGGCGTTAAAGATGAAAGGTATGCCTGGGAAGTATGTGAGGTTGGTCCGTGCTATGTACAGAGCATCCCGTACATGTGTACGATCTGCCGCGGGAACTACGGGCAGTATCGATGTGGCGGTAGGGCTGCACCAAGGGTCGGCACTGAGCCCTTACCTCTTCCTACTGATTATGGACGCTTTGACGTCGGACCTGCAGGATGAGGCACCCTGGTGCATGCTCTTTGCCGATGACATCGTGCTTGTCGGGGAAGAAGGCATCGAGGTACAGAGCAGACTGACGGGGTGGCAACGGAGGCTGGAAAGTGTTGGCCTGAAGATCAGCAGATCCAAAACCGAGTATCTGTGCTGTGATTTCGGCGGTCTTTCCAGTCCTGTACCCATGTCGTTGGATGGCGCTATACTGCCTATCTGCTCAGATGTCAAGTACCTCGGTTCCCTCATTCAAGGCGACGGCGGAATAGATAGAGCTGTGCAGCATAGGATTAACGCAGGGTGGATGTAATGGCGACAGGTCACAGCCACAACGTGCGATCCCCGAATGCCAATAAGGCTGAAGGGGAAAATTTACAAATCGATCATCCGACCTGTCGTCATGTATGGAAGTGAATGCTGGGCCGTCAAGAAGAAGGATGAAAATAGACTGCATACGAATGAAATGAGAATGTTACGATGGATGTGTGGTGTGACAAGGATGGATAAGATAAGGAATGAGTATATAAGAGGAAGCCTGAAAGTAGCGCCAGTGGTAGAAAAGGTGAGAGGAAGCAGATTGGCATGGTTTGGGCATGTGATGCGGAGGAATGAAAGTCATGTCACAAAACGAGTGTTGAATATGAATGTGGAGGGACACACGGGCAGAGGAAGGCCGAATAAAAGATGGATCGATTGTGTGAAGAGTGATATGAGAATGATAGGAGTAAGTATGGAAATGACGGCTGATAGAGAGGAATGGAACAAAAAGATTTACTGCGCCGACCCCAGATAATGGGAAATGGTTTAGAGAATGATGATGACGATCCTTACATACTTGTTTTGCTTCGTCCACTTTCATTATTCCCTTCATACATGCTCTACGGTTTAGGGTACCCTTGACCTGGCCTTTTTTCAAGACGTCCCTGATTTGGTCTAGAAATTTCTAGACAACATAAAATAGATGCCGTGTAGTGGCGGTCAATAATATCCACAACCCCATATCCTCCCTTGGGTGTCGTAAAAGGCGACAAAGAGAAACAGGCAGGAGATGGGCAGCAGCATCTTCCTGATAATAGCCAAAATAAAAATAAAAAAACTGCGGTTGCCAACCCGCTCGCCAAACGTGGCAACTATAGCAAATACCCCCCAATGATTAAAGCAACAAACAGACGGCCCCCAGTCCCCGGCGGCCCCACTATTCCTGGCTACGGTGGCGACCATGGTAACGGCGGGGCAGGGGGTGCTAAGAATCCGGTGGAGGTTCGGTTGCCACCTTAGACGACTCGACCTGGCAACGTACAACGCACGTACCCTGAGGACTGACGAGAAGATCGTGGAGCTGGAAGAAGAGATAGACAAGTTGCGCTGGCATATTATAGGATTATCCGAAGTCGGAAGAGAGGGGGAGGACACGGTAATCCTCGAATCCGGCAACTTGCTCTATCACCGGGAGGGCGACCATCTGTCCCAAGGAGGTGTCGGATTTATCGTCCACAAGTCTCTCGTTAACAACGTTGTAAAGATTGGGAGTGTGTCGACGAGGGTTGCGTACCTTATACTCAGAATCACCAAACGGTATTCGCTGAAGGTCATACAGGTATACGCACCAACCTCGGCACACCCCGATGAGGAGGTGGAGGAAATGTATGAGGATATTTCTAGAGCCATGCATTCCTCCAAAACCCAATATACGGTGTTAATGGGAGACTTCAATGAAAAACTAGGCACAAGAGAGAACGGTGAGCTGCAAGCTGAAAGTAGGGAAATTTGGAATAGGGCAACGGAACCCAAGGGGCCAGCAGCTGGCCGACTTCAAGGAGAAAGAGGAACTCTTTATGATGAACTCTTTCTTCCAGAAGCGGCCCCACAGGAAGTGGACAAAAAATGAGATTGACTTCATTATGACGACCAGACGACAACTGTTCAGTGATGTCTCCGTGATCGCGAGGGTGAAAACTGGTAGCGATCACCGAATGGTGAGAGGCACACTAAACCTAAATGTTAAGATGGAGAGGTCTCGTGTAATGAAGTCAACGCTCCGTCCCCCTCGTGCTCTGTTCCAAAGTCCCGAAACCTTTCAGCTCGAGTTACAAAACCGTTTTGAGTGCCTAGAAGAATGCAATGAAGTGGACGATATGAATGACAAGCTCATGGAAACTGTCCATGCTGTCGGAGCTAAGTTCTGCAAGACCCGCCGCAGAAGAACACAAAAACTTTTCAATCACACTCTTAATCTCATGGCTGTTAGACGGGAGATGAAGCTACATTCTTCAACAGACTTGAAAGTATACAAGCATCTGAACAGACAGATCTCCAAATGCATGCGGCGGGACTTACGCAACTTCAATACAGCTCGTATTGAAGAAGCGATCGAGCGGAACCAAGGCTCCAAAGTCTTTGCCAGAGATCTGTCTGCCAGAAAGAGCCAACTGTCAAAGCTGAAGACAGAATGAGGCAGCATCGTTTCCGGGACTCCTGAGATTTTGAGTGAGATTGAGAGGTTCTATGGGCACCTGTACACGTTATCGTTGGAGCCACACGCAAGTGTGAGTAACGATCCAAGAGCGAGTCTCATCCGACACTATTCCGAAGATATCCCGGACGTCAGTCTGAGCGAGATTAGAATAGCTCTCCAGCACCTTAAAAATAACAAGGCCCCAGGCGAGGATGGAATTACAGCGGAGCTTCTGAAAGCGGGTGAAAAACCGGTACTTGAAGTCCTTCAGAAGCTCTTTAATTCCGTCCTCTATGGTGGCATTACACCGGAGGCGTGGAGCAGATGTGCGGTGGTCTTGTTCTTCAAGAAAGGCGACAACGCTCTCTTGAAGAACTACAGACCGATTTCCCTTCTGAGCCGCGTCTACGTGCTGTTTTCGAGAGTCATTACGAATCGTCTCGCGTGCCGACTTGACGACTTCCAGCCTCCCGAACAAGCCGGTTTCCGAAAGGGCTTTAGCACCATAGACCACATACATACCCTTCGGCAAATTGTACAGAAGTCCGAAGATTAAAATTTGCCACTATGTATGGCGTATGTGGACTATGAGAAAGCTTTTGATTCCGTCGAAATTTGGGCGGTGCTGCAGTCTCTTCAGCGGTGCCAAGTTGACTGTCGGTATATCGAAGTGTTGAAGTGCTTGTACAGTAGAGCTACGATGGCTATCCGAGTACAGAACCAGAGTATGAAACCTATCCAATTGCAGAGTGGTGTAAGACAGGGTGACGTCATATCCCCGAAACTCTTCACCGCTGCATTGGAAGACGTTTTCAAGCTTCTGGACTGGAAAGGATACGGTATCAACATCAATGGCGAGTACATCACTCACTTTCGATTTGCCGACGATATAGTTCTTATGGCAGAATCGCTGGAGGACCTAAGCACTATGCTCAATGACCTCAATAGTGTTTCCCAACGGATAGGTCTTAAGATGAACATGGACAAAACAAAGATCATGTTTAATGTCCATGTCACACCTATGCCGGTAGTTGTTGAGAACACTAAGCTCGAAGTTGTTAACGAGTATGTTTACCTGGGACAAATAGTCCAACTAGGTAAGTCCAACTTCGACCGAGAGGTCAATCGACGGATTGACCGCTTGGTCGAAGCAGCGTTCGGGAAGCTACGACACATTTTCTCGTCAGACATACCTCAAAACCTTAAAACGAAATTGTACAACCAGTGCGTGTTGCCAGTGATGACTTACGGAACTGAGACGTGGTCCTTCACAGCTGGCCGTATGAGGAAGCTCAAGGTCGCTCAGCGAGCTATGGAGAGGGCTATGCTCGGAGTTTCTTTGCGTGATAAACTTAGAAATGAGGATATCCGCAGTAGAACTAGAGTAACCGACATAGCCCAACGGATTAGTAAGCTGAAGTGGCAGTGGGCCGGCCATATGGCTCGAAGAACCGACAACCGATGGGGAAGAAAGGTTCTCGAGTGGCAGCCCCGTACCGGTAGGCGAAGTGTAGGGTGACCCCCCACGAGATGGAGTGACGACCTGGTAAGGCATGCAGGAAGTCGATGGATGCAGGTGGCTCAGGACCGTGCTTTGTGGCATTCCTTGGGGGAGGCATATATGTTTAACATAATAACTAAATGGGGAGGAATCTTGAAATCACATTAGATTCAATGGAGCACCCATATATCAAAACTAGTAAGCAGACTTATTTCTGCATCATATGCTGTAAAAAAGATTAGAAATCTTACCAGTGCTTAAACAACTAGACTAGTTTACTTTACCTATTTCTATAGCATAATGTCGTATGGTATTTTGCTATTGGGACACGCGGCTTACACTGAAATTATATTTGTTTTACAGAAGAGGGACATAAGAGCTGTTCGCGCAAAACTCTGTTGTCGGAATCGACAACAGATGTCACTCAGCTCGGCGCGATTCCGGTCTGAAGTTCTTCCGAGCGTGGCAGTGGCGCGCGGGTCGCAAGCGCGTCAATCGTCCATAATCGGTGCTGACGTGAGCACGCGGTCCGTTCTGTTAGGGAACTCGGAATAATTAGGTGCGGCCCGTAAATATACGGTCTAGGATTTGTGACGCGCATTCCTACTGGAGAGCTTCCCGGGACTTATTGTGTCTGACTCAGAACCTGCATAAGTGCATTCGACAATATAAGCTAGTGCGGCCTCGGTATTTAGAACTAATTGTCGCCACGCGAAACGGTAGTGACCTTTGACCCAGAAACTCCGGGTGTGTTTTGTGCGGTAACCTTATACCCCGCGATAGTTAGTGGCTTCTGTAAGCTAGTTAATCGTACGATAGAGTTAAGTGACTGTCATCGTGGTGAACCAAGAAAGTGACTGTGGATAACCTCGAAAGGCCCCCTCAAATAGGAGCGGTGTCGACGCTCGGGCTGCTGCCGACGGCTAAGGTCCAGGTTTAATCACCATCAGTCACACCCAGATACACACCACATCACCATTCTTTCCCTTGCACTACACAACTACATGCGACCTGACCGACTCCGGAGGGACCAGTCGTCTTGGATCGAGGTAAGTGAACTCCACTAAATTCCTTCCGGTCGACTGGCCGTAGTATAACGCTCCCCCATATATTTTAGTGTAATTAGAGAGATTCCACGTGGCCTTAGGAGGCCCGACCTACGTCTGCTCGAGAGGTCTTCAGCTCATGGGCCCCTGAAGGTCTGATCCTTTAAGAGAGCAGCCGTAGGCCGTAACAAACTGGTAGCAGAGCGCGGTTCCGGGTTCGATTCCCTGGTCGATCCCGACCATAGTGCTAGATAAATATTAAACAATTTTGGTGGCAGGGAGCGTTGGTGTGATTGGTTTAATTTGTA